ACCAAAACACCGAGATGATCCTGCAGAAGGATATGAAGATGTACGAGTGCATGGGGTACAGGTTTGGGAATTCAACAGTAAAATACGATTTTGAGCGCTGGATCGATAGGGAGGGCAGTAAAGTAACAGGAATAGAGAAGAACAAACTGGGAATGATACTCTCAATGAAACTGGAAGAGTTCAGAAAGGATCTAGGCTTTGATTTCTACTTTGTGGGGTGCAAAATGAAGAAACAGAGGCACTTCATTTCCATCAATTTTCCGTACATAAGGTTCTTCGTCAAAAAGTACAGGTTTGAAGAACTTAACTACAAGGGGTTCACGTACTACAAAATACCTGTGGAGATGACACGAAAAATTTTGATGCCGTTGGTGGTCAAATCATTGAAAGGAATCGATGGATGGAACTGACACATTAAATGCCAATATTTGTGTTGATAAGTTATGTAGTGTGAATCAGATTATATTTTACGTCAGCTACTCCTCCCAGCAGGTAACTTGAATATTACCACGAGAAAAGTGTGTTTGTGCTGATGATGTTACTGAGGAAATAAAATTGTACATATCATCACCTTCTGGAGCAAAATTAAACTTAATCTGGTTGTATCATCCTTTCGCAGCAATATCAAATGAGGCAACTTCCTTAATAACCAACTAAATCGTTCGTAGTGAAAAGGAGGTCTAAATCACAGGTTATATTATATGTTGAAGAAAGGCTTTCTATCATGAGATAACGGAGAATTTATTTACTTATTTTTCATGCATGTGTAACATTTCTGTGCGCGGATACTGATGTACAAACTTACAAAATACAATCTTAACAGAATGTATGCGACTATAGCTGTGGCGAAGAAAAGAAGTATGGCCAGGATGTTGTTACATACATTATATTTGTGTGATGGTAACAGGTGTCTTTCAATAAGAGCTGGTATTGGTAACATGAAGAACAAGCTCGATTTATTCTGTGCATCAAAACGATGTGTGTCCTGTACTGCAGCTATTGGACCATACCATGATGGCTCAACAGCAAAGAACTAAAATGTGGAGGGCCCTATCGGTTGCAACTTATATTTCAAAGCAGTGTCCCATGATATCGGTTGGC